AGAGCATGCATGATTACATATTTTTATTTTTTTTTTTACATATATAAAGCAATACAGATCCTCTCATCGAAAGTTAGACCGTTTTTTTTTGGTTAGCTGTCCGCACTACAAAAAAACCCTTCGTGCGAAGGCATGAACAAAGAATCCACCCCCCAGAATAATAATAAAAATAATAATAATAATAATAATAATAATAATAATAATAATGTTCCTAATGAGCTGGACGATGTACAAGGAACTACCAATAATGCAAATACCTATACTGAGTATGCCGAAGGTCATGAAACCGATGACCACACATATCCCTGCAATAATACTAATGCTAATTTTATTGAGGAGTGTTCGCTGAAGACCCCCACAATTATTGGATACCTTCTGGTATCATGGCAGAATTTACCACAAGCATTTACAAAGAAAACACCTTATTACCAGAGGAACATCAGACTTTATTACAATCTTACCCACAAAATAAAACTATCAAATTTAACCCACTTCCGATGGACAAACAAATCATTAACCGCATGTCTAAACATGCACAAGACACTGATAAGACTTTTTCAAAGCTTGCATACAGGTTTTCTTCATCTCTATGCCTTCTGGATTTGGCTATTAAACACCTTTATGAGGTTAAACCTCAAAATGAGGATCAATCTAATTTATCATGGAAGTATTTGGAGGAGGCGTTGCTCTTACAAAGCTACTTACACTGGACGCCTTGTCTTCACTCAACGAAATACGAAGAGATGAAGCACTTAAGTCATTTATTCCTAACCACCAGCCCAGCTCTGAAAATGAAACAGTTTTCGGAACAGAATTGCAAAACATTATCGAAAAAGAGAATAGAGAAGCAAAGTTTTTCAACGATGCATTATATCAATGAAGGCGGCAAGAAAAATTGGAATGTAAGACTTTACCCAGCTTTCAGAACAACTGTAGCACAAGATTTAGTAAATATCAACCACCACGATACAGCAGAAAATTTTCAGGATCCAGGCAGGGAAACATTTACAGGGGCGGTCTTCAGACAGATCGCCCAAACCAACAATAAACACAAAGGTAGCTGGAAGAGGTTTGAGGAAAGCCTATCCCGTATGGCAAAGATTTTTAACACAACACTGGGCTATGTTAATTATCAAAGATGGTTATTATTCCATCTGGGAACATGCACCCCCACTAAAAATCTACACCCCTTCTGGCAACCAATGAAGTCCCAATATACAACAAGAAGTTTCAAGGTTGTTAGACCAGAAAGTGATATGCGAATTCCCTATCAACAAACCTTGTTTCATGTCGAATATTTTTTTAGTTCTGAAAAAAGCTGGTGCTCACAGATTAGTAATAGATTTATGAGAACTAAACAACTATATTTACTATATGCATTTCAAAATAGAAGGCTTGGACCTCATAAAAGCATTAATACAGCCCAAAGACTTTATGATATTGATAGATATCAAAGAGGCCTTTCACCATGTACCATTACATCAAGAAGCCCAAAAATATTTCGTGTTCAAATGCAACG